ACCAGATACGGATTTAAAAGGAAGAGCAGCAAAGAGAAGGGAAACAACCATGGATTACAGTAAGGCACACATTACAGTATTGTTTTATGTTAAATAATATGAGGGTTTAATGTCACTTTAAAGACACAGATGTGGACACATCAAAACAAAGCTTCATTCCTCCTGAAATGTGATGAAGTAAAAGCAACTGTCTCATGTATACCTGGCATGTCAAAGGTAAAGCAAAGTGTGAAAAGGGAGAACGTTTTGCTTATTCTACAAAGCATATTCTAGAATAGCCTACACAGATTTATAGCCTACACAGAATAGCCCAGGAAAAAAAAAAAAATTACAAAATGATGAGATCATAGCTATATTTCAAACTGTTTCTGGAATTTGTATCACACATCTTTAATCTTTTTAAAACAGCCAATCAGACTATTTAAATGGAACAAAGTCACTCTGCTGTTTGGTGTCATCGTGCACACTAGACTGAACATGAGTCAGATAAAGCCGAGGAGAGAGGTGTTTGAGGAGGAAAAAAGAAAACAATTATAGCTCAGCATGTCAAAAAGGTAAAGGCTATAAGACCATCTTCACGAAACTGATGTTATGACTTTTTGCAAATAATATTAAGAAATGCAAGGTCCATAGGAGTGTAGCCAATCTGCCTGGACGTGGCCAAAAGAGGGGGGGGAAAAAAAATGATCGCCGGACAGAACAGAAGGATATTAAAAATGGTAAACAAAGAGCCAAGGAAAGCTTCCAAAGAGATATAAGCTGAACTCCAAGGTACATCAGTGTCTGATTGCAACATCTATAGCTTTTGGAGCGACAGTGGGCCCAAAAGGAGAGACAGAAGGCCTCAATTGTTGGAAAAATAAAAGTTGCTTGTTAAGGAAAAGAACACCAAACCTACTGTTAAATATAGGGGAAGCTTGGTTAGGTTTTGGGGTTGCATTTGGCATGGGCTGCTTTAAAATCAACAATCAAATCTCATTACATCATGGAATTCTGGAAAAAAAAATGTCAGAAAGCTCTCTCAGTTGAAGGTCATAGGTCCTCCAACAGGATGGCCAACAACACAGATAAAACCACTAGACTATTCCGAATTGTTCTTCTATTAGTCCTAATTGGAATCCTATCAAACATCTATGAAAGCAGCAGAAACATGCAGCCTGAAGAAAGTATCCTTCAAACCTGAGACAGCTGGAGTGGGCCAAACTACCTATTGACAGGTGCAAAAGTATCCGAGAGCTACAAAAAAAATTATTTGCTTACAGTGATTGCATCAAAAACATTAGGCTAGGGGTCCCATCATCTTGTTTTATAAATTAAGATATACAGTTTTATCAAAAATCAAAAGCAAAGTTTGACATTATTAAAAATGGAACAAACAATGATGGCCGCCAATTACTTTGGTCAGTTTAAAGTAATTTCTATTACAAGCAATTGCGGGTGGTTTTTTCATGGAAGACTACCAACGAATTTGCCCATTTCACCAATTAAAACTACATTTTCAAATACTTTAACATATAAATAGGTGAACATAGCGAGGACAAGCTGTCAGCAAACTACAGAGCGAATTTTATATGATGGCCGAGTGAGAGGTTGGCATGCAACCAACAAAGAATAGAGTGCCAAATGGAAGACAACAATGCAGGTAGTCGTGAAGTGCCAGCCAATGGTTGACAACATACAGATCCCAGGAGAGAAGAAAGAAATTTACCGGAGAAGAGAATGAAACAGATACAGTATATTGGAAAACTGTGCACCTAGTAGCAGCCCATTAGCTTATCGTCCCCCTCAGCAATTCAAATGTGGGAATTTTAGGTTTCATTTCTAATTAGCGAAGATTAAGTTATAAAAATATGAATTTATTCATGTTTTTACAGTTTATAAACAGCAAATGAGGGTGCATACATTGGGACAGGGTTGTCAGAATCCTGTCAATAAACATAATACATATTAATTAATTTTACCTGTCCATGCCCAATTTTAAACCGTTAGGCTGCAAAACTATTTGCATATTTTTACTTACAGGCCTATTAATTAGGGAACAATTGTGTCACTTATTGTACAGAAGAGTGCTTTAGGTTTTATCATCATTTTAAAACCACTGTTCTGCAAATATAAAGTACTACATTTATTCTAAAACTTGGCCATTAAAACACCAAAATTCTGATTTTGGTACAAAATATAGCAAAGCTATTAAGAAACAAAAACTGCAGATGCACTTGTTACTGCTTACACTAAGGGCCCATTCACATCACCATGCTGTGTGCTACAACACACACATTGTCATGCACTGCATTAAACAGCCAATCCACAATAAATCAGCTGAAACGCATAGCAACACAGGCTACATTATTTGCAGCTCAATGCACCATGTGTATTGCTGCGCTGCGGTACACTGCTGAGTATATCCATTTTTAAAGGTGCATTGAGGTGTCATTTATTAGGAATGGCACTGCAGCACGTCAACACACACACACACACACACAGGGTGCTCCCACATTGCACTGGTCTAAACAGGCCCAAAAAATAACAAACAATGAAGGAGTTACATGTAAAAACATTACCCCTGACTTATTTATTTTCATTTTCAAAGCTGAACTCCAGGAACACATAACACATTTGTAATTCTATTCAGCAAGACTTGTGATTCAACAACCCCTGCCAGACAGTGCAGTCGGGTTCCTAATCATTCTATTCTCTATTACACTTCAAGCAGAATACCAGTAATCTTTTTTTTTTTTTTTATTGACCCTTGCAGTGGGGCTACCCCCACACTGCAAGTGTTAACTGCTTGTTGGTGTCTAGGTAAAAAAAAGGGATATACTCACCTGACCTGCCAAGCCAACTTCTTCTTAGACCAGTCCCTGGAATGGCTCTCCCCCTCCTCTGCAGCAGTCAACGTTCCAGTAAATCATCAAGGTCTATACACTGTGCAAGGACGCTGAGAAGCATTCTAATCTGCTGCTGCGGAGGGGACAGGCTGCAGGGAGCGCCATGACAGCTGGCCGGCTTGGATCTTTGGGTGAGTACATCTGTTATTTTAGCAACTAGACACAAAGGAGCACTTAACCCTTGCAGTGAGGTTACCCCTGCACTGCAAAGGTTAATAAAAAAAAAAATCCTGGAGTTATTTGACAAAGACACCCTTCAGGATCCGCCCCATCCTGCTGCTTGGACAATGAAAAGACAGCACACGAATGAGGATATCCTTGTGCTCCATCATGATGCAAGCATATATAAACAGCACTCTGCACAGCAACAGAATTCAGATCTCCTCCCTCTCTCAGGGAGGGTAGTGAGGCAGAACAATCACGGATCCCTTAAGGCCTTGTTCACACCAAATGCAGAGCAGATCCGGTCAGGTTTCTGCACACGCAGTGCAGTGGGTTGTGCCGCGTTTTTGGTAAAAAATAAATAAATTTAGTTTAACATGGGCTTTCAGTGAGTTCAGGCACATGACGCATTTTTGATGCGTTCCAGAGCAGATCCAGAGCAGGTAAAATAGGGCTTGCGGCAGTTTTTTCACCTGCTCTGGATCTGCACGCTGCGATGTGAACTGGAGCTCAAAATACCATAGGAATACATTGGACGCAGTTTTGATCCGGTCTGCACCTGCTCTGCTCTGGATCTGCTCTGCACTTGGTGTGAACAAGCCCTAAGGGTCCCCACACACCTTACGATTATCGTACGATAATCGCGGGAAATCCCGCGATCGTACGATGATCGTAAGGTGTGTGGAAGCCGTGCGACCTCTACTACTGTAAGGTCGCACGACTTTAAACTTACGGACATGTTCGAAAACTCGCCGAGCATCGTACGATGTTCGGCGGGTTTGTGGCATGTCCGTACGATAACAGCCGTACGGGCCGGTGTGCGCAAGCGCACACTGCCCGTTCGGCATTGCGGTCATCGGAAGCCCGCCCGTCAGGGGGCGTGGCTTGCAATCATCGCAAGTACGATCTGCCTATGCAACATAGGCAGATCGTACGTTTTTTTAAGTACCTTACATCCATCGCAAGACAGAAGTCTTGCGATGGTTCTAAGGTGTGTGCCCAGCCTAATAGAGGTCTGTCCTGGATAGAAAGTTAAAGCTTGGAGTGGGGCTACCAAAAGAACACACACAACGCTCCGAGCTGGCTTCTCCTTAGACCAGTCCTTGTATCTCTCCCCCTCTTTGGCAGCGGTCTAAGGTCCCGTAAATTATTATGTCTATACACAATGTATACTTACAGTCGTCAGGTTTCAGAACAGCCAGCTCCCACTCTCTCTGAACTTCCTGTCCAGTACAGAAAACACAAGGAACAGCAGAGTCTCCAGCAACTGTCCATCTACTAGCTTGGAGAAGAAGGGACAGGGACATGAGGAAGAGGAGACAGGATGGAGGGAACGCTGTGACAGCTGGCCGGCTCAGAGCTTTGGGTGAGTAGAGATTATTATTATTTGTTATTTTTGTACCTAGATACAAACAAGCACTTAACCCTTGCAGTGCGGAGGTGGCCCCCACTGCAAGGGTTAATAAAAGGTTTTCCTTGAGATCTTCTTTAAATCTTGTTTTCAATAATGAATCCAGAACAAATATACATTTCCCAGCAACATATTTCTTTACATTTTTGCCCAAGCACTTACAATCGTCATGTTTCAGAACAGCTATCTCCAACTCTCTCTGCTCAGCTTTTCTGAACAAGGAACAGCAGAGTCTATAGCAACTGTCCATCTACTAGCCTGGGGAGGGGAAGGGGTGAGTGGATTGCGGTGTCTGTGGATACACAAAAAGCTTAATAGCACATACAAAGGGGGCTCCTTGGGAAAGGAAAAGGAGTCACCCTCACAGGATACCAGGGTCGGTACAGAGGATGTCAGGGCCAGTGCTCAGGGGACTAGCTGATTCTGCAGGAAACTAATCTTTTAAACATCAAGGAGTAGCATCTATTGGAAGTGATTTCATCAGCATTTGAAATAGCTTAAACACTTTAACTTTAATATCACTTTAAGGTTATACTGACCTGGTGACTTTTCCCGCTCATAAAAAAATGGCTGCAGATCCAGGCAGTAATACCGATTGCAGCACACGTATAGATGTAAAATCGGTTCATCCACAAAAGCATTAAATGTGTATGCACAAAAACCCATGGGCCAGAAGATGCATCTAAAAAAAAGCAATACAGATAAACGTTTAAATATCACAACTTGAAGAGGCAGAAGAACACAATTCCAAAACTATATAGGCATAGGTATTTAATCATCATGTCATAAGGATTTACAATCTCCGCCAGGAGGCTGTCAGGCTAGAGGTCACCTTACAGGAACTTTCTTAGCAGATCTCAAAAAGATGTTGCCGTATCATACCGCATCCAACCTACAGTACATAGACAAGGTCTGTCTCATGAATATGCAATTCTCCTCCAGATGATAAAGTAACTTTGCAGTTATGCAATTTGTTTTGCTACTCTTTATGGTAACAGAACCTTCACTGCTAAATACTATTTATTTGATTAAAAGAAAAAGGCTTTAAAGTGTGACTGAGAATTAATTACTCAGTCATGCAACATTGTAACCAAATTAAATTGGTTATTTTTGAGACAGAGTGTATTATTTGGTGGTATTTAATAACAGCTTTTTTTATTTTTTACTTTATAAAGTATATTTAAAAAATTCTCTTTACTTTCTATTATAAAACATATCAAATAAAAACATCAGGCCAGTATGAAGACAACCCAAATGACCCTTTTTTGAAAAGACACTTCAAGGTTATTTTATTTTTTAAACACAATGTTTTAGAAATGAAGAAACATGCTGGTATTGAGGGGGTTAAAACACAGGAGCGCAGTAATGGTGCAGAAGATACAATAAATGTACAGGTCATAGACAGGAGGTTGTTGAGAGGTAACCCTACAGGTCACATAGAATGGGATGTTGAAGATTAAGGGGTTAATGTACCCATGTGCAGGAAAAGGTAGGTGAAGGGAGTAAATGCACACATCAGAGCAGAGACAGAATGGGGATAATAGATGTACCAGAGGAGGGGGATGAAAAGGTTAAAAACTACTGATTTATTTGTTTTTGCTGCTGCATCTTGTTTTCACTAGGTAGTCATGAATGGATGATTCAGCCATCCATTACCTCAAAATCACAGCGTTCACAGACACAGACCCAGTCTGTTTGCTTCTGTGCCTGAAGCCGCTGCTCTCTTATGTTGAATGACACAGGGAGCAGCAGCTTCTTTGGCCGCAGCCACACAGATACTCAATGCTCTTATGATATTTACTTTTTCTGTTTTGCAACATTGTTTCTATCTGCCAAAGGCAATGCTAAACACCAGTTTATGGGATTTTTAATATTTAAAGTGACATTAAAAGGATACATTTTTTTTCCTCCCCCCCTCCCCCCCCCCACAATGTTAATGTAAGCACTTACCTTAAAATGATGTCTCTTAATCCGATCTTTCCTGGCGTTTTCAGCCTTCTCTCCGGCACTGCTGCGGGTCTCCGATCCAGCGCTGACTCCTCTGTTTGCTGGCACTTCCTGTCCCATGGCGTCTGTGCGGGTGCACGCTGTCCATAGACTTATCTTGTGTGTCTCCTTGTCTACGGCTGAAAATCTGAACTGCGCATGCCCCAAGATCCTTTGCGGCCGGCCGAGATTTGTCAGATTTTCAGACTGGAGTGCACGGGGAAGACGCAGGTAAGTTTAAACCGTAAGTTTTTTTTTTTTACGTTTTTGCATTTGTATTAAAAAAAAAAAAAACACAAACAAAATATTAGATAGATAGAGATAGATACAATAAAAAGTTGATTAATATTGTCAATCGATTAGTTGGTTGTAGCCCTACCTCCATGACTAATGTTTTACTTACAGTAAGGTCCCAATCACAGGTGCAACACATACAAAAACTTGCAAAATTGTGCATGTTGTTGCATTTTGCGTGATCTTGCAATGCACGAAAAGCATGCATCTCACTTGCAGTGCCATTATTCATTAATGGCACACTAAACCTGGAAATCAAGACAAGAAAGCACACAGTGGGGGGGGG